ATGGTGACTATTGTGTCTGACGCGCCTGTCTGTATGATGCTCGACAGTCCTTATAAAGCACTGAAGGTAAGATTCACTGTACTTTTTATTTATGATTTTTTGGCAACGCTTTATGAATGGAATTAACAGTAGATGCATAGAGTTTAGGAAAATAGTGCTAATAGTGATTAATACTAACCACTACTCACTATAAGCTAACACTATAACCAACATTATAACTACTACTAATGATACCATATTTCGGGACTAAGAACACTCATTGCAAACCGAACATTAATAACATTCACCATAACGCAGCTAACACTATTACAACCTAACGACACTACAACATGCATTATTAAAAAAAAAAAAAAAAAAAAAAAAAACACCATAACACTACATTTCCACCACCGAAAAACATTTTTAATTAGCCGACACCACCCTCTTTGCAATTGAAAATCCAGGCGGCGGCTGCAGGGGACATTGCAGATCTGGAACGACTTTGCACGGCGGAACCGAAGAGCGTGGGCGTGAAAGACAAGCGAGGATGGGCGGCTTTGCACCACGCCGCCCTCAACAACCGCCCAATGTCTGTCGTTTTGCTGGCTCGATACGGGGCGGGTGAGTAGAGAATTAACTGTGGTTTTATCAGGGCTATTGTGTGTTTTCATTAATGCTGTCATCTGTGCTATTATTGGTGTTATTATCAACGTTGTTATCCATTTTATTATCAGTTATTATCATTGTTATTATCAGTGTGATCCTATGTCAGTCTTATCATCTGATTTAATATATGTGTTATTTTCATTGTTGTTACCTTGTCGTTGGTATCATTTTCGTTGTTTTGCTACCACTGTGATTTTTGTGTCTATTCTTTATATTGTATATTTTTTTTGTTTTTTTGTTCTTTTCTTTTTTGTATTATTACTGCTATTTGATCTTACGTTTTACAGTGTCATTGTCACTATTATTATTGCTCTTATTTCTTTTACCATCACTGATATCGTCATTATCATTATCTTTATTATGATTACTATTTTGATTAATATAATTTAATTTCGCATTATTCATTATCACCATTCATTATAATTATACTATAGAAATAAACGTTAGATACTATTCATATAATCATTATCATTATCTTATTAAAATTATTACCGAGCTTCGCGTGTGTGTGTGTGCGCGTGTGCGTGTGCTTAAATAGTGTATTTATGAATTTCACTGATTCGAATGAACGCATCCAAACTGAGTGCATTCATTCGAAACTTACAACCACTCGAATAGAAAAAATATATATATTTTTATGAAGTGAAATGTATACCGAAATGGCCACTCTTATGCCACCAGTGTTACTAGACAAGATATCGTTTGGCAGCTATACGCACATATACGCATGTAATCAACGGGAATTATTATCACCATTAGAAGGAAGTCGTCTTAAGTTCTTTCGTGAATTCAAGATCTTTAGGACGATCTGAAAGTTATGTAAGAAGCCTCTCCCCCTACACACACACACACACACGCACACGCACGCACGTACACGCACACGCACACGCACACGCACACACACACACAGGCACACGCACACGCACACACACACACACACACACACACACACACATACACACACACATACACACACACATACACACACACACACACACACACACACACATACACACACATACACACACACACACACACACACACACACACACACACACACACACACACACACACACACACACACACACACACACACACCTGTTCCAGTACTTCATAAGGAAGGAACATGAAAATTAACACAGAATCTCCGATAATGCATTGAGATTAGTACAACGGGCTTCATTAAGCACACTTTTAAAAGTACTTAAATTAATAGATACGCACTCACAGACGCAGACATATGCACAAAAAGAGAGAGAGAGGTATATGAATATGTTTGTATGTATGTATGTATATATACACATATAAACATATATATGTATACATATATACATGTGTGTGTGAATATGTATATACCTATGCATATATTTATACATTTATGAAAGGGGGTAGAAAGAAAAGGGGGGAGAGAGAGAGAGAGAGAGTGAGAGAGAGAGAGAGAGAGAGAGAGAGAGAGAGAGAGAGAGAGAGAGAGAGAGAGAGAGAGAGAGAGAGAGAGAGAGAGAGAGAGAGAGAGAGAGACAAAGAGAGAGACAAAGAGAGAAAGAAACAGAGAAAGAAACAGAGACCGGCAGGGGGAGGCGAAGAAATATGGAAAGAGAATAACAACAACACAAAAAACATCAAATAATAAGAATAAGAGAGAACCACACAAGACAACACAACACAAACGATGGCCTCCTTCACTTCGGAAAATTCCTCAGCAAGACCGGCTAAAGATTTTGATCCGAACCACACAGCGTTCAGGGTTTGCGTAACACGTCAGTTGGCAGAGAGAAACTCGCTATAACGACCTTCATTTCGGTTTAATTGCCCATAAAAAGTTGTTTTGATGGTTCCTTTTTTGGATACCAAGTTCCCTCTCCACGAACGAATAGGGCGAAAGGGAAAAATCAGTGTGAAAGAGTAAGGATGGGAATATTTTTGACCCAGAATGGATGCGCAGAAGGAAACCGGTTTGAACTAGATTCGGGTGATTCGAATACACGCTTATCTCGAACGGGTTCCTTTGAGTCAAGGTTAATAGTATGTTTTTTCTTTTTTTCTTTCTTTCTTTCTTTCTTTCTTTCTTTTTTTCGTTTTTTTTTTTTGTTGTTGTTGTTGTTGTTGTTTTTCTTTCCTTTTCTCCTTTTCTTTACTTTTTTTTTTCTCTCTCTCTCTCTTTCTTGCCTCTTTCTTAACCTCGATATTTCCTTTCTTTCTTTCTCTGTCTTTCTGTAACTCGGATGTTCCCTTTCTTCGGACAATATTTCCCTTTTTAAATAATATCTTAAATCGAGTTGAGAATATGTGGTATACTGACTATTCCACATATCGATTCATGGGTTAAATACGTGGACATGCACTTCGTTATAGTGAATCCTTTATTTTAGTTTGATATTGAAAGTGATAAAGAAAATATAGTATATGAGTTAGATTTAGATATAAGATGCTTAAATCGACGGTACTTACGTATGTTCAAATATATTTTCCGGTTTGAAGACTAAATTTAGTGGCATGTATAGGCTAGCGGTCCCTGGCACGCTAGAATTGACGCACCATCTCCATCATCATTATCTATCTATCTTCATCATCGCCATCTTCATCACCACCCTCACCTCCATCATTATCTTCCTCTCCAACATCACTATCACTATTATCACTCAACCTTTTCTCCATCACCTCGCCAACACTACTACCGCTCCGGTCGTCACCATTATCACTATCATTATCATCATCACCACCCCCACCATCTCCCTCACCCCCACCACCACCCTCACCATCTCCATCAACTCCCCCATCAGCCCCACCACCCTTCCCCCCACCACCATCCCCCCATCACCATTCCCCCCATCACTCCCATCACCCCCATCACCCTTCCCCCCACCACCATTCCCCCCACCATCACCCCCCCACCACCATCCCCCCATCACCATTCCCCCCATCACTCCCATCACCCCCATCACCCTCCCCCCCACCACCATTCCCCCCACCATCACCCCCCCACCACCATCCCCCCATCCCCCACCACCCATCCCCCTCACCCCCATTCACCCCCACCACCACCCTCCCTAACCCCCCCTCCTCCCTCTCTCCACACAGACCTCAACGCGAGAGACAAAGAGGGAAGGACCGCTCTCCATCTCGCGGCGCTGGGAGATTCTTACGAGGCGATGGAAGCTCTTGTCGACAGGTGAGTGTGGATAGGTGGATAGGTGGAGGGGGTGTGGAAATGGATAGATTGTGGATAAGTGGATAGGTGGAGAGGGTGTGAGGATGAATTATGGGTAAGTGGGTAGGAGGAAATGATAGATTGTGGATAGGTGGAGGGGGTGTGGAAATGGATAGATTGTGGATAAGTGGATAGGTGGAGAGGGTGTGAGGATGAATTATGGGTAAGTGGGTAGGAGGAAATGATAGATTGTGGATAGGGGGAGAGGGTGTGGAATGGATAGATTGTGGATAGGTGGAGAGGGTGTGGAATGGATAGATTGTGGATAGGTGGAGAGGGTGTGGAATGGATAGATTGTGGATAGGTGGAGAGGGTGTGAATGGATAGATTGTGGATAAGTGGATAGGTGGAGAGGGTGTGAGGATGAATTATGGATAAGTGGGTAGGAGGAAATGATAGATTGTGGATAGGTGGAGGGGGTGTGGAATGGATAGATTGTGGATAAGTGGATAGGTGGAGAGGGTATGAGGAAAAATTATGGATAAGTGGATAGGAGGAAATGATAGATTGTGGATAAGTGGATAGGAGGAAATTATAGATTATGGATAAGTGGATAGGTGGAGAGGGTGTGGAAGGGATAGATGGTGGATAGGTGGAGGGAGTGTGAATGGATAGATTGTGGATAGGTGGAGAGGGTGTGGAAAGGGATAGATTGTGGATAGGTGGAGGGGTGTGGAAATGGATAGATTGTGGATAGGTGGAGGGGGTGTGGAATGGATAGATCGTGGATAAGTGGATAGGTAGAGAGGGTGTGAGAAGGACAAATTATGGATAAGTGGAAAGGGTGTGATAAATAATGGATAAATGGATAGGAGAGGGTGTAGAAAGGATAAATTGTGGATAAGTGGATAAGTAGAGAGGATAAAGGAATAGATGGATAAAGTGTGGAAAGTGGATAGGTGTAATGGGTGAATAGGGGGATACATGAATAGGGAAGGATAAAGGATGGATAAATGGATAAGTAGAGAGGATGTGAATAAGATAAAATGTATAGAAAGGATAAGTGATAAAGATAATTGGATAAATGGATAGGACGTGGAAAGAATAAATAATGGATGAATGGATAGAGGATGAGGGTGTGGATAGAACGGGTTGATAGATGAATAGATACAGGGAGAGTATGTGATAAGGATGATGATAAGGATAAATGGATAGGTGGAGAGAATGTGGAAAGAATGATGGATTGATAAATAAATAGACGGAAAGGATGTAGAAAGATAAATAAATAGAAGAATTGGATGTGAAAGAGGATAGTTGATGGAGAAATAAATAGGTGAAGAAGATAGATGAAAAAATATGGTATGGGAAGATGGAAGATAGATAGACATATTGAGAGCATGTGAAAAAGATATTTAGTAGATAAAAAAGATAGATGGATAAATAGACAATAATTATAATGATAATAATAATAGATAATAGATGCAAGGATGGATAATGGATAAAAATAGATAGAGAGATTGTGAAAAGGATAGTTTATGGATGAATAAAAGTATATAGTAGCTGTTAAGAGTAACTAGGATAGATAAGATAATATGGACATAAGGAAAGTAGGTGATGAATAAGAAAAAAAATAAAAATGAAATAATATAGATAAGATTTTTTTTTTTTTAATAGAACTGAGAGAGAGCGAAGATGAATTTGAAAGAATGTGCTGAATAAATTTATGAATGAAGAGACAACGAGAGAATAGGGAGAGAGAATAAATGGTGGGAAGGAATAGGAAGAGAGAGTGATAAACGGAGTGTTAATGAAAAGGAGATTAATTCAGAAAAAAAAAACGAAAGAGGAAGAGAAAACAGGGGAAGAGAAAGCACGGATTACAAAGATAGAGAAAGAATAAAAGAAGGATTAGAAAAACGAGAGAGAAAGAAAAAAGAAAGAAAAAGGAAGAAAGGAGAAGCGAAAGTTGGAGAGAGAAAGAGAAAGAGAAGAAGAAGAAGAAGAAGAAAGTTTGAGAAATAAATGAGACTGAGAGTTTGAGAGAAGGTAAAAAGGGAGAAAAAAAGAAAGAGAAGAGAGATGGAGAAAAGAGAGAATGAAAGAAAGAAAGGGAAGAAAGAAAACGTATAAGAATAAGCAGAAAGAAAAAGAAAAGGGATTAGATAGACAGACAAAAAAATAGAAAACGATAGTTAGAAAGAGTGAAAGAGAAGGAAAGATAGAAGAAGATAGAAAGTAAGAAAAATAAGAAAAGGGGAGAAAAACGGAAAGAGATTGAGACAAAGACCAAAACATGAAACAATGAAAGTGAGTTAGAGAGAAAAACGAGGAGAAATCGATAACAAGAGAAAAAAAACGAATTTTGAAATAACGAGAGAGAGAAAAAAAAGAGAGAAAGGATGGAAATAGAGAAAAAAAATGATAACAAAGACACTAACGAACATAATGTATTTCTTTTCATTCCATCTCACAGTGGTTGCAACTTGCAATTGAAAGACGACGACAATAACACTCCGTTGCATTTGTCTGTCATTCACAACAAGGTAAACAAAAATTGAGGATTCTTTGTTGTTGTCGTTGTTGTTGTTCTTTGTTTTTACTGTTGTTGGTGGTGGTGATTTTGTTGCACCTGTTTATTGATGTTGTTCTAGTTGATGTTGATGTTATTGCACGTGCAGTTGCAAATGCTGATACTGCTGTTATTGTTGTTTCTGTTGTTGTTTTTGTCAAAATGGATATTATCAAAATTCAAATTCGATATTAACATCGTTGTTGTTGTTGTTGCTGTTGCTGTTTTTGCTATTGTTGTCGTAAAAAGTATGACATTAATTATTCCAGAATATTATGATTGTTGGTGATGTTGAAGATGTTGTTGTCATCGATGTTGTTGATGTTACTCTGTTTGTTATATAAGAAGAGAGAGAAGGGGGAGAGAGAGAGAAAAGAGAGAGATGGGAGAGGATTTGGGAGAGAGAAGGAGAGAGAGAGAGAAAGAAAGAAAGAAAGAAAGAAAGAGGGAGGAGGAGTTAGGAGAGAGAGAGGCAGACAGACAGAGAAAAGAAAGATTAGAGTAATTGTTGGTTTTAACTGTAGATTTTTTCCCTATTGTTTTATTTATTTATCTGTTTTGTATCTTTCTTTCTTTTTTTTTTTTTGCTATCACCAATGTCCCTTTTGCTTTTGTCTTACTGTTTGTGGTATTAACGTCATTATCGTTGTATTATAGTGATAGCAGTTTTCACAATACTTGCCACTATAACAATGACGATAATAATTGTGATCATCATTATAATATTGCCGTTATTATTGATGAAGTTATTACCACTGCTGTTACTACTGTTACCGCTATCATCACTATTACTAATATCATTATTAACTGTAGTGTTTTAATGATCAGTTCATTACCATATCGTGTATTCCTATCAGCCCTTTTATTTCTATTAATGCTATTATTGTCACTATTGTTATTTATTATTGTTGTATTTATTATTGTCGTACTTATTATTGTCATTAATGCTGATATTATTAGTACTGTTTCATCATACTCGTTATTTTGTTCTGTTGTTTTTGGTGTAACTTATTGTTGTTGCTATTGCACCGTTGTTATCATCATAATCACTATCACCTTTATTATTTTTATCATAAGCAATAGTAAAAGTTTAACTACCGGTAGCAGTAGTAGTAGTAGTAATAATGATAGTAGTAGTAGTAGTAGTAGTAGCAGTAGCAGTAGTAGTAGTGTGCTAGTGTTATTTCTGTTATTCTCATGATCATTATTGTCATTAGTTTTGTTACCTTTAGTATTATGATTGTCATATTTGTTATTAATATTGTACTCATCGTCATCTTTATCACTTGATAATTTTTGTCATCATCCACATCATTACAGTCACTAGAATTGTCGTTATTAAAAGTATCATTATCATAATTATCATCAGTATTTTCAATATTACTTGCATCATCATCATTAGCTGTAGCCATTAGCAGTGGCTGTAAAAGTCATGGTAGAAATAGCGTTATGTCATCAAACCTACATTATCATAATTACTATTGTTACTGATATCAATTTCATGATTCATGAATAATTACAAAGCTGTCCTATATAAAACGATAACTTGTTGAACAGTAATTTCATAACGTTACGCAAGGTCTTCATTACACAACGTAATGATGTAACGTTATATAACCAGCACGGAAAATTGGATAAAAGTCGTTGGTTACATGACACTTGGGTGTAATAAGTGAGGCGTCAGGACGTGATCAACTGTGGAGACTGATGAGGGCGCGACCTAAGAAAATGCGAGGGAAAGATTGGTAATTAGTGAGGCGGACTGACAGATATGCAGGCAGAGAAGGTGATAGATAGCCATATGGGCAAAGAGAGACACGTGCACGCACACGCACACGCACACGCACTCTTACACTCACACTTACACTTACACTTACACTTACACTTACACTTACACACACACACACACACACGTGCAGAGAGAGAGAGAGAGAGAGAGAGAGAGAGAGAGAGAGAGAGAGAGAGAGAGAGAGAGAGAGAGAGAGAGAGAGAGAGAGAGAGAGAGAGAGAGAGAGGAAGAAAGCAGAAAGAGAAGACATAGACACAAACAGATAAAATGATGGACATGCCCACACAGACAAACAAAAAGAGAGAGAGGAGCGGGAAATGAAAGGAGAACGAAAAAGAGAAAGACAGTGAGAGTGAGAGACAGACAGACAGAGACAAAGATACAGAAAGTCATACAAAATGAGACAAACACACAGGATGAAAGTGACAGCAAAGAGAGTGACGTAGAAATAAATAAGAAGAGTGAGATACAGACTAATGGACAGACAGACAAATAAAAGGGCTACAAATATGAATACACATACAGGTTGACAGAGAGAGAGAAAGAGAGAGAGAGAGAGAGAGAAAGAGAGAGAGAGAAAGAGAGAAAGAGAGAGAGACAGAGAGAAAGAGAGAGAGCGGGGGGAGAGGGAGGGAGGAAAAAAGAGAGAGGGAGGGAGGAAAAAAGAGAGAGACAAAGGAGAAGGAGAGAGAGGATAAAAGAAAGAAACAGAAACAGAAAGAGAGAGAAAGAGATAGAGTATGACAACGAAAGATCAATAGAGCGTGCGAAGGAAATGAAATACCAACGCTTGAGTCCTTCATCCCATGCAGGTGAAGGCGGTCGGTAAACTGGTCATGCATTTGGACGAGTCAGGCATTCTGCAAGGCGACCGGCAGGGGAGAACCGCTCTGCACTTAGCGGCAGAGCTCGGCCACGAAATGTGTGCTCAGATGTTGGTAAGACTTGGTGATGTGTTTGTTTGTTTGTTTGTTTGTATTATTTTTAGTTCCATTTTTTGTTTAGCTGTTTTCTCTTTGTTTGTTTTGTATTTTCTTTCTTATTTTCTTTTTTCTCTCTTTCTCTGTCTTTTTTTTTCTCTTTTTTTCATTCTCTTTTCCTTCATCGTCTTTCATTCTCTCTCTCTCTCTATCTATCTATCTATCTATCTGTCTATCTATGTATCTATCTATCTATCTCACTCACTCACTCACTCACTATTTCTCTTTCTCTTCCTCTCCCTCTCCCTCTCCCTCTCCCTCTCCCTCTTCCTCTTCCTCTTCCTCTTCCTTCTCCCACTCCCTTTCATTCTTTTCTTAACCCTTTCCTTGTCCTGCGTTCATAAAAATGCACAAAGGAATTTTGAATATCCTATAAACCAATGAATCCTACAAAGCAACGTTGAATCCTCAAAAAAAAAAAAAACTAAAAGGGAAAGCGTGGAGTCCCAAAGAGCGTAATAATCTATCGACCGTCTATCGTGCGGCCGCAGGTCAATAAACTAATCAGCGATGTAATGGACTCTATTGGAAGGTCTAAATGGCAGGTATCTTTTCTTGCCTCCTCCTCCTTCTTTTTTTCTTCTTTTTCTTCTTCTTGTTCTCCTACTTCTTCTCCTTCTCCTTCTTCTTCTTCTTCTCCTTTCCCTTCTCCTCCTTCTTCTCCTTCTCCTTCTCCTTCTTCTCCTCCTCCTTCTCCTTCTCCTCCTTCTCCTTCCCCTTCTCCTTCTTCTCCTCCTCCTTCTCCTTCTCCTCCTTCTCCTTCCCCTTCTCCTTCTTCTGCTTCCCCTCCTTCTTCTGCTTCTCCTCCTTCTCCTCCTTCTTCTTTTTTTCTTCTCCTCCTCCTCCTCCTCTTCCTTTTCCTTCTCCTGCTCCTTCTTCTCCTTCTCCTTCTCCTTCTCCTTCTCCTTCTCCTCCTCCTCCTCCTCCTCCTCCTCCTTTTCATATTTCGTTTTTTCTTTATTCTTTTCTTTTCTTTTCTTTTTTTAATTATTTTTGCTCTTGTTTGTTTTCCCTGTATTTTTTTTTAGAATTGTCATCCCGAATACTATTATTATTATCGTTATGAATGTTATCGTTATTATCGTAATCATCATTATTTTCATTGGTATTATTGCTATGACTTTTCGCATCATTATTGCTTTTATTACTCTTAATATTATTGTCATTATTTATCCTCATTATCAGTATGAATTATGCAATTCCTATACTTATCTTTATTGATATCATTATTATCTTATCATTAGTATCAATATATTATTAATATTATTACTATTACTGTTATTACTGTTATCATTATTACTATAATTATCATTACTTTTATTATCATCACTGTCATTAGTATTATAATTATTGGTATTATTATTATTATTATTATTATTATTATTATTATTATTATCATTATCCCTATTTTCTATCTTTATCATTTTTTTACTGTCCTCTCTATCATTGTTAGTATTATCTTTAATATCACAGTAGTCGCTAACCATAGTAACCCCCTCCCCTCCCCCCCTCTTACCCCTCCCCCTTTCCCCATTACCCATCTCCCCTTCTCCCCTTCTCCCCTCCCCCCCTCTTACCCCTCCCCCTTTCCCCATTACCCATCTCCCCTTCTCCCCTTCTCCCCTCCCCCCCTCTTACCCCTCCCCCTTTCCCCATTACCCATCTCCCCTTCTCCCCTTCTCCCCTCCCCCCCTCTTACCCCTCCCCCTTTCCCCATTACTCATCTCCCCTTCTCCCCTCCCCCATTCTTCTTCCTTATCCTCCTCCCCTCCAACCATCATCCCCCGAACCCCCACTTAACCCGTTATCTCTCCCCATCTTTCCCCCATTTTACCCACATCCCCCATCCCCCATCCCTCTCCCCCCTCCCCCTTACCCTTACCCCTCCCCCTTCCCCTTCCCCTCCCCTCCCCTTCCCCCTCCCCTTCCCCTCCCTTCCCCTTCCCCTTCCCCCTCCTCCCCTCCCCCTCTCCCCCTCTTCCTCCCTCCCTCTTCCCCTTCCCCTCCCCCCCTCCCCTTTCCCCCGCCATCCCGCCCACAGCTCGACCGATACACCGGCCCGCCCACCCAGCGCTGCAACAACGGCTACCTCCCCATCCACGTGGCCGCCCGCAACTCGTCCGTGGGCGTAGTGAGGCATTTGATCAAGTGGGCGGAAGAGAGGGCGTGCGAGAGGGAGATGATGGCGATCCCGGATTTGGACGGGAATATACCCCTCCACCAAGCTGTTCAAGGCAGGGCGATTAAGGTAAGGTAAAGTGGGGATTAATGAATGGGATTTATGAGCTTCTTTAAGGGGGGGAGGGGGTAGATTTATGGGGATTAATGGGAGGGGGGGGGGGTATTATGTGTATAAGGAGGTAATGGATGGTGATTTTTTTTTTTTTTTTTTTCAAGGGAGTCTAACTGTGCGTTCAGGTGTGATAGGATTTTATTCACCCGTTTATAAATTGAATTATTGATTTATCTGCTTATCTATATGCATATCTTTCCTCTTTTCATTTACTCCTTTATTCACCTATTTATCTCTTCCATTTTGAAGAGAGTCAGCAGTGTAATTTATGCATCTTTTAATAACATATTTGTATATATCTGTTATTTTAGGCAGGTGATTTATTTCTATTAACCTATTTGACCATCTATCTATCTATCTGTCTATTCATCTCTTCTTTCTCATTTTCAGGATAGTCGAGCATTGTCTCAAAGTTCACGTACCCTTTCCATTCACCCATTTATTCAGATTTTTATCTGTTTATCTCTACTCATTTGCTTAATTATTCGCCTATCTATCAATCTATCTACTTCTTCGTTCTTCCTTCCTTTCCCATTCATTTACCTATCCATCTATCACTACGTCTTTATCTTTTTCCTTTTTTCTCATTCACCTATTCCTTTTTCCATCTCTATTCCTTTCCCTCCTTATTCTTCAAAAGCAGATAGGCATAACGACCTTCCTCTATCCATCCCACCCATTCCTCCCACCTATTCCTTTTTTTTTTCTCTCTCTCATTCACCTATTTCTCTTTCCATCCCCATCTCTTTGCTTCCTTATTCTTCAAAAGCAGATGGGCATAACGAGCCTCCTCTATCCACTCACCCATTCATCTCACCTATTCCTTTTTTTCTCTCTCATTCACCTATTCCTCTTTCTATCTCTTTCTGCCTCCTTTGCTTCCTTATAACAAGCATCCTCTATCCACTCATCCATTCATCCCACCTATTCCTTTTTCTCTCTCTCTCTCATTCACCTATTCCTCTTTCCATCTCTATCTCTTTGCCTCCTTATTCTTCAAAAGCAAATGGGCATAACGAGCGTTTTCCATCCACTCACCCATCCCTCCCACCTATCCCTTTATTCATCTCCTCTTTATCTCCTCGTTCCCTTGAAGGTGGTCGAGCAGTTCCTGAAGGTGGGCGCCCTGATCTCGACCCAACAGCTCGATCTGTCGACGCCCGTCCATCTCGCGTGTTCCCAGGGCGCCCTTGACGTCGTGAAGCTGATGTTCAATTTACAGCCTCAGGAGGTGAGTGTGTGTGTGTGTGTGTGTGTGTGTGTGTGAGTGTGTATATGTGTGTGAGTGTGTGTGTGTGGGTGGGTGTGTGTGTGTGTGTGTGTGTGTGTATGTGTGTGTGTGTGGTGGGGGGGGGAGGGTTGTTCTGAGGAGAGAGAGAGAGAGGAAAAATTGACAGGCAGATAAATATATTCAAGAGTGACAGACAGACACTCAGACACTCACTGAAAGACAATCAGATTAGACAGACAAAGACACATACACATAGACAAAGACAAATAGACAAACAAACATTACACAGAAAACGGGAGAGAAAAAACGAAGAGAGAAAGGGACCCGAAAGAAAGGAAAAGAGAGAGAGGGAAAAACAGAGATACACATCATTCACTTCACAACTAGTGTTTTGCTATTTTTTTAATAATGTATTAATATAACCTGCAATATGGGAGCAATATAATGAAGCTTATTATTTAGAAATCTTTGTTTATATTTGTATAGATTTGTAGATGTATATTTACACGTATTAATATGTTTCTCTATTTGTCTATACATTTCTTTAAATATTTCCTTTCTCTTTTGTTTTTACGTATTCTGTTTTATTCTCCATCTGTACACCCTTTTCCTTTCTCTTTCTTATACATTTTCTTCTTTCCTTCTAGATATTTTTCCTTTCCTTTTAGTTTTTTCCTCACCCTTTTTACGTTTGCCTTCCTCCTTATACGTATCTTCTTCTGCTTTATTTTCCCTTTTCCCTTTTCTTTCTACACAATTCTTCTATTTCTCCACTAGCTCATATTCTTTTCATTTGCTAAATATTCTCGTGTCTTATCTTTCAACATATTTTTTCCTCTCCTCTCCTGCTGTACATTTTTTTTCTTCCCTAATCGCATATCTCCCATCTTTCTATGCACATTCTTCACTACTCTTCTTCTTCTTTCTCCACCTCCTCCTCCTTCTCCTTATCCTTATCCTTCTCCTCCTCCTCTTCCTCCTTCCTTCTCCTCCTCCTCCTAATCCTCCTCCTCCTCTTCTTCCTCTTCTTCCTCTTCCTCCTTTTCTTCCTCTTCTCCTCCTCCTCTTCTTCCTCTTCCCTCCCTTCCTCCTCCTCGTCCTTCTCCTTCTTCTTGCCCTCCTCCTCCTTCTCCTCCTCCTTCCTCCTCCTCCTCCTCCTTCTCCTTCCTCCTCCTCCTCCTCCTTCCTCCTCCTCCTCCCCCTTCCTCCTCCTCCTTCCTCCTCCTCCTTCCTCCTCCTCCTTCCTCCTCCTCCTTCCTCCTCCTCCTTCCTCCTCCTCCTTCCTCCTCCTCCTCCTCCCCCTCCCCCCCTTTCCCCCTCCCCCTCCTCCTCCCCCTCCCCCTCCCCCTCCTCCTCCCCCTCCCCCTTCTTCCCCCCTCCCCCCTCCTCCCCTCCTCCTCCTCCTCCTCCTCCTCCTCCTCCTCCTCCTCCTCCTCCCCCCCTTTAATCTACATCTACTTTCTTCTCCTTTTCTCCCAAGACGGCGAGGGTTCTTGTGACCACGGACGCCCGAGGAATGACTCCGCTTCACTGTGCCGCCATGTTCAACCATTATGAACTCGTCGCTTTTATTCTTGAACAGGTGAGTTGACGTATAAGGAAGTCTTGATTTAATTTGATTTGGTTGACACGGATGAGATCTGTCCGTTAAATGCCGAAATGGTTGGCAAATCGATGTATCCAAGAGAGATTTTTTTCTTTCTTTCTTTCTATCTTTTCTTTTTTTTCTTTTTGGTTCTTGTTTGTTCGTTTGCTTCTTTGTTTTTGTTGTATTTTTTTATGTGGAAGAATATGCAATGAAATGTATAGTTGTCTTTATACACTATCTAAAAGTATAGGTTAAGAGAGAGAAATATTAGCTCCATATTCTTTGAACATGCTTACAGTAGAGGTATTTGTGGTATTTGGATTGCAATCTACAGTCAGAAAAAAAAGGTATCGTCACCCTTTGCACAAACTAATATGAAAAATCGACGAAGTTTTGTGGAATAGCGAGGCAAAGTAGTTAGCATAGTAATCCGACGTTAACAGAAAGCAGCGTTCAGTTCCTCAACGACCACAAGCAAAAGCAATAAAAATTTTCTTCATTTACAAACCGCTCGAAGTGAAACAGCCTTGTAGGTGAAGGTCTCTCAAAGAAGTGTTCAGCTTCACTTATTTGCCTCTCGGATAACGTTTCAAAATTATGATTGCTTTGAACTTCCCAAATTGTTCTTAATAAGAGGTAATTACGAGAGCAAAGGAAGGCCATTAAATCCGAAATCCGATAAACCGATATTTTAGAAGGTCGAGACATACGAATGAGTGGATAGATAGATCGATAGATGGAAGGATGGTTAAGT